AAAATATTCATTCCTCTGTTTCATTTCCTCACATCTTCTACAAAGCCGTAAACTGTGCGTAATAGGATAATAGGGTAATAGGAAAACCATTTGTTTCTCTGGCCATTGAAGTATCTCATAAAACTTTTCACTGTCTTTTCATAAGGAGCACCCTTTTCATATACAGTAGCAGTATGCACATTGGTAATGTAAGGTGTTCTGTACTGCACTGAGCACACACATGTGGATAAAACCACAACCACTATCATTAAACAATCAATTAAATTATAATAATGCATTGGTTTTAAAGACCGATTTCATGGATACTCAAGATCAGATTCAGATTCAGATTCATTTATTTGCCATTTGCAGTAAAACCACATTGGAAAAACTGTGCAAGACTACCCCAGTGTGCACCAGACGACACACACCAGAGCTCTTGCCACGGCGCCATCTTTACGGCGCCATGCGACAAAGACGCCTGGCGTGGATTATTCATTCACTCCATACATGTTGCTGATGAACAACATGTATGGAGGATATAACAAGGATACAACATCAGCAGCTGATCAGCGTGAGTGTTGCACTCTTAAATGACCAAACCAATACAAAATCGTCTGTTTGCAATGTTTATTGTCCACGGTTCAGAGTCACATTTTGAGGCACGCAGGGTCACAACAGCATGAACACACCTGTCAGCACTCACTAGTCCGAAGTGGCAGTGGTTGACCTACATTTGTAGTCTAATGCATTTGGAATGACCACGGCCAATGGTCGAATCTCGGATTCAGGAGGAGCAGTGTGGTTTTCGTCCCGGCCGTGGAACACTGGACCGGCTCTATACTCTCCATCGGATACTCGAGGGTTCATGGGAGTTCGCCCAACCTGTCCACATGTGCTTAGTGGATTTGGAGAAGGCGTTCGACCGTGTTCCCCGGGGTGTTCCTTAGGGGGTTCTCCGGGAGTACGGGGTCCGGGGTCCTCTGCTGAGGGCTGTTCGGTCCCTGTATGACCGGAGCCAGAGCTGTGTTCGCATTGCCGGCAGTAAGTCAGACCTGTTCCCGGTGCATGTTGGCCTCCGCCAGGGCTGCCCTTTGTCACCGGTTCTGTTCACTGTATTCATGGACAGAATTTCTAGGCGCAGCCAGGGGCCGGAGGGGGTCCAGTTTGGGGACCACAGGATTTCATCTCTGCAGTTTGCGGACGGTGTTGTCCTGTTGGCTCCAACGAACCAGGACCTACAACATGCACTGGGACGGTTTGCAGCCGAGTGTGAAGCGGCTGGGATGAGAATCAGCACCTCCAAATCCGAGGCCATGGTGCTCGACCGGAAAAAGGTGCCTTGCCCTCTGCAGGTGGGTGGAGAGGTCCTTCCTCAAGTGGAGGAGTTCAAGTATCTCGGGGTCTTGTTCACGAGTGAGGGAAGGATGGAGCATTGACAGGCGGATCGGTGCAGCGTGCGCAGTGATGCGGTCGCTGTATCGGACCGTTGAGGTAAAGAGGGAGCTGAGCCGAAAGGCAAAGCTCTCGATTTACCGGTCAATCTTCGTTCCCTCCCTCACCTATGGTCATGAGCTTTGGGTAATGACCGAAAGAACGAGATCGCGAATACAAGCGGTCGAAATGACCTTCCTCCGCAGAGTGGCTGGGCACTCCCTTAGAGATAGGGTGAGGAGCTCAGTCACACGCGAGGAGCTCGGAGTAGAGCCGCTGCTACTCCACGTCGAGAGGAACCAGTTGAGGTGGCTCGGGCATCTGTTCCGGATGCCTCCTGGACGCCTCCCTGGGGAAGACCCGGGGGCCCGGGGAAGACTCAGGACACGCTGGAGGGACTATGTCTCTCAGCTGGCCTGGGAACGCCTTGGGGTCCGCCCGGACGAGCTGGAGGAAGTGTGTGTGGATAGAGAAGTCTGGGCGTCTCTCACAACGGATGAAGCGGAAGAAAACGGACGGACGGACAGACGGAATGATTAAAAATACGAAAATGGATAAATTTTATATGGGCTATACCAGCAATCTGACCAATCAGCACACAGCTGATCTGGACGGAGCTAAGACGGCACGAGAGCGAGAAGAGTGGATTTATCGAAAACCAACAGACTTTAAAAGAAAAAAATTAATTCAGGATGACAAGGGACAATCCCCACAAAATGTGATCTTTGTGAAACCTGAATGTTCTATGTCATCTGAGGAAGATTGAGATTGATGGGGAAAATATCCTCACAGCTCAAGCCCTGCCTGCTAAGCTTCAGAGGTCTGCCAGGATCTAAAGCCTTTGCAAGGCCCAATTGACATTCACTTATTACAGTAAAATAACATGAAAGCAAAATAAAGTAAATCTGGATAAATGTCCTGCTCAACAAAAACCGCTCACTAATCAGATTGAAGAGCAGACCTTTGGGCTTGTTTGCAATACATGATTTTCTGTGTGTATTTCCATAATTTATAATTGCTCGATTTGTTTATTTTATTTATTTAACTGCCATTGTGTATGCAACACTAGAATCCATTATCCCTCAACAATGTTCCGTAGGCACTGAACATACAATAGGCAATACATCATTAATCATGGGCCGAGATCGCCTGCTCGCTTCCCTGACGGCCTGTGTCGCGATGGGACAGTATGCATGAGTGGGTTTTCATCAGCCTTTTGGGTACATCCCTGTCATTGGCCTTGTTTGGGCGGCACGGTGGCTGAGTGGATAGCACTCTCGCCTCTCAGCAAGAAGGTACTGGGTTCGAATCCCGGCCGGACCAGGGCCTTTCTGAGTGGAGTTTGCATGTTCTCCCCGTGTCTGCGTAGGTTTCCTCCGGGTACTCCGGTTTCCCCTACCACTAAAAATATGTACAATAGGTCTGGCATGCGCCTCCTGTTCGACGACCCCGCTCCCATCTCTGTGTGGAGTGAGAGGACAAATGCCCAAAAAATAACAATTGCTTCCGCTTTGTGGCTCTGGTCTGTGAAAGGCGGTATATAAATAAAGCTTACTTACTTACTTACTTGTTTTCAGAAGGAAGGGATGTGAGGGATGAGGAGACTACAAAATAATTATGCTGCCTGCTATATTTTCAACAGCTTTTTTCGAATTCCCCATGCTTGTCCATCTCTGGCTCTTGGTCTTGAAACAAATGCTGGCCGATTGTTCATTATTAATGGCGCAATCTGTAAGAATCTGCCAAAGGTGGTACTGCACTCTCTCTGACTCAGGTTGCCAGATATGCAGACGAATCCAGTTGGGACCATGATAACTGAATAGAACAGAGTTTTGTCAACAACAACTCTATAACCAACACCTTTTTCACAGAGGCTACAATGGAAATCCTCGTTATATTCCTTGTTTTGTCATAAATAATTTGAGAATCAAAACGAGACCTTTTTTAGTTCTGCGGCCACATGTTACTTCAGATTCAGATTCCAATCTGAATCTGAATCTGAATCTGAATTTACCAGTGAGATAAGCTTGGTGGTTTGACAGCAGTTGACTACTTAAACCAAACTTTACACAAAACTTTGACTCTTAAAACCCACATATCACAACATGGAAACATCAACATCTCGCCTCAAATTGCATTAAAAGTGACATTTGTGTCTTAATTCCTTTGTATTTAAACTTTTAACGCAATTCACAGACTTTATGGTGCATCTCGACAAGAGATCACCGGATCACGGACTTTTTGATTGGTAAAACGATGGAGGGCGGGGCATCGAAATGAAAACGAGAGATTTACGGGCTGTAAATCAGATTTTTAAATTCAAATATCTCGCTGAACTAGTATTAGTTATAGAAATATTGGAAAAGAGCATGGTTCAGGGCCATTTAATGATGACTGGACATTAAAATCTTACATATTGCTACTTTAATGTAATGTAATGTAATGCAGCGCCTGATCAAATTCAGGAGCTCAATAGCACTTTTGAGGGTTACTAAAAATAGATTTCAACATCACCTCCAGAGTTGAGTGACATCTGGTTTAAACATACTGTAAAAGAAAAAGGCAACTCTATTTAGAGCACACATGTCAGAACTAAGGCCCCCAGGCCAAATGCGCAAATTGATCCAGCTGATTTCAGCTCTATAAATACAAGTCTTGTTGTAAATCATCTGGAATCCAGTTGTTGACTTTACTTTCATGTATAGATATTTGTTCATGATTGTGTAGCAGGCAAAATCACTAAAAACTACTTAATTTCTGCCAAATCTAAATCAATCAAATATAAAGCAAGCTAATCAGGAAGCAGGGGAGGGAGTGCCACAGGAACCATTACATTTATATGACAGAAAAAAGTGCTTGCGACTTTACTTAGTTACTGAAGTTGGTTGTTACCCCGGCCTCGTGGCTCAGGACAATTAGATTTTGTTTGTACACATGTGCTTTTTTTAATAACAAAGTAAAGGGTATTTCCCAAATGTATTTTATTCAATTCAATTCAATTTATTTTTGTATCAGAGAGTCAAACAGTCAGAACACAGGAAATGTAATAATAACAAACACGTAGGACCATAAGGGGCTGATATGTCCATAAAAGTTTATGAATGTGCATAAATGTCCTTCAATGTACAGTTTTCTTTTTCAACCATCAAGCTTGTGCCCCTTTTATCTCCTACAAGCGCTGCTGTTTGTCTGAGTGTGCACATCAACTGTTGACTGTGCAGTTAAGAACCTCAAGTGGAAAAACAGACCAAATAGTGTAGTCAAACAGTCAAGTCACAATGGTAAAGCCACAAGATGCAAAATATTCTTGATCCTTTCTTGGGTGGATAAATGGTGATGAAAAAGATGACCCAAATCTTTCAAAGTGAACTTTCTCACACGAGGATGTACAACTCGACGCCTACAGCCTTTCTTTTATGCTGTTTATTTAAAAAAAACATTTAGATGTGCTGCTTAGACAGAGTTTTTGCAAATATAAATGATAAAAAATGACTGGGATGCTCTCTGACGGTAGTAGTAGAGTTTGGGCATTCAAGTGGACGCTATTGTCTTATCGTTCTCCATTGCAATAAAAGTTAATTTCTCTCTTACATTTGTTTTATTGTCTTTGCAGCAGACACCAGGTCAGCAGGCACCAGGTCAGCAGACACCAGGTCAGCAGACACCAGGTCAGCAGACACCAGGTCAGCAGACACCAGGTCAGCAGACACCAGGTCAGCATACACCAGGTCAGTAGACACCAGGTCACTGCTGAAACTGTCCAACTGCTTAAATGTGATCATATCAGGGATGATGACAGCAGGGCCCCATAGTGAAACACCAGCCTGATGACCAACAGTATTAAAGTCACATGTGGCCATACCTGTATGTGAAAGCCAAATCCTGTCAGACCCCTGACGCTAAGCAGGGCTGGGCCTGGTTAGTACTGTGATGAGAGACCTCTGGGAACACCAGGTGCCACAGTGGGGCAACTGCAGCTTTAAAGTGCCAAACTGCTGTTGTGTCCTTTGGCAAGACACTTCACCCACATTGCCTGGAGTGAGTCTGGTGTGTGTGAGTCGTTGGTGGTGGTCAGAGGGGCCAATGGAACATACTGGTTGTCTTGCTTCTGCCAGTGTGGCCCAGGGCAACTGTGGCTACATTACAAGTTTATCACCATTGTGTATGGAGTGAAAGAATCATTTTTGTTGCCACGTAAGTAACAGGAGGTCACAGACTAGGAAATTGCTTTGGCTCAGTGCAACAGTCAAAAAGAGATAATAAAAATAAGAATAAAAAACACTTCTAAAGAATAAATTTAAATTTAAAATAGAGTTACAGTTACTATTTACAATATACAAGTGCACATGGTGCACACAATGTAAGGTGACAGCAGTACAGTGAAGTAAAGTGACGTATGATGGGCAGTAAAGTGACTTTATAAAGGGCGGGGGGACAGGTTAAGAAGTGTTCAAGAGTCCAACAGCAGAGGGGAAGAAACTGTTCTTGTGGCGGGAGGTTCTAGTCCTGATGGACCGCAGCCTCCTGCCTGAGGGGAGTGGTTGGAATAGTCCATGTGCAGGGTGAGAGGGGTCGGCTGTGATACGACCAGCCCGGCCTCGAGCTCAGGCGACGTACAGGTCCTGCAGCGATGGAAGGCTGCGGCCGATCACTTCCTCTGCAGAGCGCACAATGCGCTGTAGTCTCTGTTTGTCCCTGACTGTGGCTCCAGCGAACCACACGATGACGGAGGAGGTGAGGATGGACTCGATGATGGCCGTGTAGAACTGCACCAACATCTGTGCAGGCAGCTTGGCTTTCCTGAGCTGCCGCAGGATGTACATCCTCTGCTGGGCCTTCTTGATGAGGGAGCTGATGGTCGGCTCCCACTTGAGGTCCTGGGTGATGGTGGTGCCCAGGAAACGGAAGGACTCCACAGAGGTGATGGGGGAGTCCATCACGGAGGGTGGGGGTGGGGGGACAGTGCTCTTCCTGAAGTCCACAATCATCTCCACTGTCTTCTGGGCGTTCAGCTCCAGGTTGTTACCACTGCACCAGGACACCAGCCGGTCCACCTCCCTCCTGTAGGCGGACTCATCGTTGTTGGAGATGAGTCCAATGAGGGTGGTGTCGTCCGCGAACTTGATCAGCTTCACGGAGTCGTGGCTGGAGGTGCAGTGGTTGGTGTACAGGGAGAAGAGCAGGGGAGAAAGAACACAGCCCTGTGGGGCTCCTGTATTTATAATCCGAGAGTCCGAGACATTCTTCCCCAGACGCACTCGCTGCTTCCTGTCCGTCAGGAAGTCAGTGATCCACCTGCAGGTGGAATCGGGCACGTTGAGCTGGGAGAGCTTGTCCTGGAGCAGGGATGGCAGGATTGTGTTGAAGGCAGAGCTGAAGTCCACGAACAGGACCTTGGCGTAGGTCCCCGGGGAGTCCAGGTGCTGTAGGATGTGGTGGAGGGCCAGGTTAATGGCGTCGTCTACAGATCTGTTGGCTCTGTAGGCGAACTGCAGGGGGTCCAGGAAGGGGGAGGTGAGGGACTTGAGATGGGAGAGAACCAGGCGTTCAAATGACTTCGACGACAGACGTAAGTGCTACAGGTCTGTAGTCATTGAGTCCTGTGATCCTGGGCTTCTTCGGGACGGGGACAATGATGGAGGATTTGAAGCAGGCCGGGACATGGCAGGACTGCAGAGAGGTGTTGAAAATGTCCGTGAACACAGGAGTAAGCTCACTGGCGCAGTGTCTCAGAGTGGCCGGAGACACGTGGTCCGGGCCAGGAGCTTTGCGGGGGTGCAGCCTCAGGAAGAGTTGTTTAATCTCTTTAGCGGCTATTGTTAGGCTGGGGGCAGGGCTGATGGGTGGGTCGTTAGAGTAGTGGGGGGGGGGGGAGGGAGAGGTGTCAGGGGCAGCATCAAAGCGACTGAAAAATAAGTTCAGATTGTCAGCTAGCTTGTGGTCGTCAGCACAGGGGGGGGCTTTGGGTTTGTAGTTGGTGATCTCCCGTAGGCCCCTCCAGACAGAAGCAGTATCGTTGTTACCAAACTGCTCCTGTAGTCGTTCTCTGTGCCGGGACTTGGCTGCTTTCAGTTCTCTCCTGAACTGATATTTAGCTGCTTTGTAGCCGCTGCGGTCCCCCTCCCTGAAAGCAGACTCCTTTGCTTTCCTGAGCTGCCGGAGTTTAGCAGTGAACCAGGGTTTGTCGTTGTTATAGATGACCCTGGTCCTTGTTGGAATGATGCTATCCTCACAGAAGTGAATGTATGACGTCACAGTGTCCGTATATTCATCCAAACTATCTGTGGCAGCTCTGAAAAGGTCCCAGTCTGTAGATTCCATGCATGCGCGCAGCTCTTCCACAGCTTCATCAGACCACACTTTGGAGCTCCTCATTGCAGGTTTCGAGAGCTTTAGTCTCTGTCTGTAAGCAGGGACCAGATGTATCATGGAGTGACCTGAGAAGCCGAGGGCTGGCTTGGGAACAGCGCGAAAAGCTCCGCGCACGGTGGTGTAACAGTGATCCAGAGTGTTCTCCTCTCTGGTCGGGCATTTGATAAACTGTCTGTATTTGGGTAATTCCTGGCTCAAGTTTCCCTTATTAAAATCCCCCAGGATAATAATCAGAGAGTCCGGGTATAAGCGTTCCATACACAGTACTTGCTCTGCGAGTGCGCGCTGAGCCTCGCGCGCGTCCGCGCATGGCGGTATGTAAACAGAGGCAAGAATGAATGAAACAATTTCGCGCGGGGAGTAATATGGTTTACAATGAATGAAAAGATATTCCAGAGCAGGAGAGCAGTGCTTGGAGATCACTGTCACATCGTTACACCAGTTTATATTGACGTAGAAACACAGCCCTCCGCCTCTGCTCTTCCCTGAGAGCGCACAATGGCGATCCGCGCGGAACAGCCCAAAGCCCTGCAGCTCCAGAGCACAGTCCGGGATCCGCTCATTTAGCCAGGTCTCAGTGAAGCAGAGGACACAGGATGTAGGCCTCCGCGCCTTCCCCTTTTACGGGCCCACACTTTTTTGGCTAGAACATGAACTAAATCAGCCGCAGATGCCAAGAAAAAAGGCAATAGGTCCATGGGAACGGTGGGTCGGATGTTCATAAGTTCCTCACGGGTGTAGGAACAGCCAGATGCGCAGTTAAAAAGTAAAAACAAAAGAAAAAGAGAGCAGCAAAGAGCCATGTCGACCGTACGAGGCGCCATCTTTGTTGAAACGTATGCAAAGTATGCAATCATAAGTAAGCCTAATATTTAACCTTTAGGAGATTATAGATAGACAAAATAAAATTATGTACAAAATATTATAGACATACGTAGATATACAAAGCACGTCCAAATTGTGCTTTGAGGAAAAGACATGTTGTATACCCACATTTATGAACGGTTTGCATGGGCAGAAGTAATTATAACTCCTACAGAACTCAATATTTCACCTTATTGGTAAATTCACCGCAAACTGTATGGATTGTCTGCACTTTTCTTTTACTGTGTAGAATCTTGTCAAAGAAAGGTAAGTCTAAGTATAGAGACGCAGATGGGACTGACACATTGCCAAAGGCTGTTCTTGGAAGCTAATTGTCTCTGAAGATCACAACAATTTTCCTTTCTAACTTGTTAAATGAGACCGGAGAGAGATGACGAGTGGGAGTAAAGGGAAAGAGGATTGCACACTTCACTATTATACACGACCGACTGCTGACTGGTGTTGTTTTGTGAGTGCAACATGTTACTCACCAAAGACTGATCCTTTTCAGCACAGCTAGGATAACATGTCAGAGACCAAAAACATTTCACAAGAATGATACAGGGGAGTAGATAATAGAAACAAACATGTGGAACGAAAGAGTGTAATAATTCCTGATTTAATTGATCAAACTCTGCTCCCAATAGACTATTTGGACATTCCCACTGAGCAAAATCACTAGTTATTTTTTCTGAAAATCCCTGGGAGGCCTTTTCCATACACACAGAGCGACCCATCATGGCATGTGTATCAACCCGGCTCAGCTTGGATGTAAAGGGAGTAACAATAAAACCATGATGTTAAAATGAAAACCAAAACTATCTGCTAAATACTTTAGCTGAAAAAACTGGTAAAAATGTATAAAACATTGGATTAAATACTTACATCACATTCAAATACATAACCTAAATAAACAAGTATGAAATTAACAGAACAAAAGGTTTGTAAGCTAAACTAAAGTACCTCAACAAAACTACACAATGAGTCACTACACTAAAGGCCAGCACAAGAAAAACACAGAAATAAAGAGACACAAACTTAATGGCAAATCAGAGTCCACTAACACCAGCTGACCGGGCTGCAGAGGACTGGCAGGTTATATGGGCGGGTCCCCAGATAAATGCATGTGATTGGAGGCATCCAGACATCACAGTCAATGGGCTCTGGATGGAAACATGCCGGCTAACCGGAGCCCGGTACTGACAGGTGACAGGTGCATTTAAAAAGGGGAGAACACAAAAAACAGACAACACAAGAGAGTGCTATGGTGCTGAAAAGTCTAAACAAACAGCCTGGATCTGTAACAGCGTGTCTGAACGATCCGTCTTTAAACCATCGAGGGAGTCGGTTTTTTTGCCAAAGCGTGTCCAGTGTTTACACTAGGTCAAATAGCTGCAGTTCAGACAGCAACCAAACTAAACTGTTTGATAGCCCTTAGAAGGTTCATATAATAAGACAAAAGCATAGAGAAGATAGTACTGTTTAATTACCTGACATGTTTCGGAAGAAGGCGGAAGTCTACCGCCAAAACATGTCAGTTAATTCATCCGCACTATCTTGCTCTGGTGCTCTGTGAATTGGGTGCAGCTCTGACTGCCACCCCCCAACCCAGAAATGTATTAAGGGGAAGAAAATGGATGGATGGATAACTTCTTTATATTTTTGTCTTATTAAAAGAACCTTCTAAGCTTTAAACATTGGGACACATAATGAAATGTATACATGTGTTTGATAGCCCATTTCCTACACGTAGGTCAGGTGAAGAAGATTGTACAACTGCTCCTTCAAGTGACAATACTTTGCATACCGACAGCATAAAGCCGTGTTCCCACCGGACCATGTGTTGCGTCAGATTTACAAACAAAGTCAATAGGGCCACCGCATTTCCAGCAGCACTCTGCGAGAGTCGAACAATTCTACTGGGCCAAAGACGCAGCGTGGCAACCAATCAGTGATCAGCACCACAGATGGGCAATCATTCAGGAAGCAGGACAAGTCAGAGGAGAGAAGGAAGGACCGGGTCTGTAGCTTGAGGTGTCTGACAGCTTATCCCAGAGAGTGAGATGGGCAGGGTCGCAAGGCAAGGCAAGTTTATTTATTTAGCACAATTCATACACAAGGCAATTCAACAGGATCATTGTTTGAAATAGTTTGAACTCAATATGTATTTATTGTATACTAATGATTACTGATGTTGATGCAGGAGGAGCAGTGTGGTGGTTTTTGGACCCTTGGGAGTAACTTTACGGACCAAAGGATCTCTGTGGTGCTATTTGTGGATGATATTGTCGTCATGGGTTTCTGTTTGCTGAAACATTTTAAGAATGTATTTCTTTTTTTAATATGAAGTTTTGAAATTCTACCAAATAACGATTGCGTTTGCAAACCAATCACCTCCCTCTATTTTGTCACCTTTATTAAATAGAAACAATACTGTTAACAGATACATCACAGATTTTTTTTGGCAGATAATCCTTTTTTTTGCTTCTATTTTTGCACAGTGAGTGTATGTACCACCCACATGTGACTGCCGCACGGGTATATTAGTGATGTGGTGGCTGTATACAAGCATGAAGCTGCATTTCTCACATATAATAACATTATATTCTGTACAGTAATCTTCTAACATCAGATCTGACCGGTGTTGATTCCGGCCGGTTAAGAAGAAACATGCAAACCCCAGACAGAAACGCTCAGTGAAGGTCGAACATGGGACCTTCTTACTGTGAGACCGTAGCTCTATTCATTCAGC